GTAGTAGGCCTTGTCTTCTTCGTTAAGCGTTTTTAGATTTAGATCTGTGTGGAGTGAGAGATTTGATACATAAGGAGGGGCATTCGAGAGTTTCCTTATGGCGATATTTTGGAACGTTTGAATTTTATTTAGGTTCGACTTTTTTGCGTTTCCCCATAGCTGAATCCCGTAGAGCCAGATAGGTTTGAGCAGGGATTGTGTTAAAACTTAAATTTGGATTCAATAATAAATCATTGTAAACAAAAAAACGATTCTGACATGGCGTGTTATAAATTAAATTTCTAAGGTTATTTTATAACTTATTTATATTGCTTATAATAGTTAATTTTTTTATAAGTAATATGGTAGGTTGAATTAATACATCACATGTATGATATCATACCTATATTAATATTATTAACCTATAGGCTATAAGTCGATGTAATGTAGAATGGTGTGATAGATTCGTCGTGATATATAAAATTATAAATTATTAATAGCTTAAAATATATAAGTCTAAATATTTTGAAAAGTGGTGGAATGTTTGTGTTCTTACGATTAATATTTTTTGAGCAATACAATGAAACACACAAAATTGATTTTTTCGAAAACTGGTGTTGTATAAATATTTTCGTCTTACCACTGTTTTTATTAGATTTTCTTAGTTAGGTATTAAAAATGCATGTACTAGAATTTGGCTTGAAATTCTAGCTTTTGACATTCCAAAGGTAACTAGGTAACTGCATTTTATACCAGAAACAACCCGCAACGTTGAAGATTGAAGCATTTTCTGCTCCAAATAGTGTCTGCAGACTGAAATTAAAAAAAATCACACTTCATTGTAAAAACGATTCATTCCTTCCACCGCTTAAATAATGTAAAACAAGATTATGTTACTCGAAAAATGATACACGATACACAACACACTTATACATTTTTGTAATCACAAATATTATAATCATAATAATTAATAAATGTACTTACGAATAATATTTATTTATTTTAATTTTGTCTAAAATTTTATAACTACATCATACAATTGATTAAAAGCATTGGTAGGAGGTACTTATGGTCTTACAATTTGTGTTGACATTCCATCGTTTGAAAGTTGAAACCAGCTCTGTCTATGTTGGACTAGATTGTGCATAGTATTATTAGTACCTATCCATAATGATTTCTAAGCTCATAATATTATAAGCTCATACAATGGAGGATCTGAATTCATTGAATTTTTATCATATGAATTTAGATTGAATTTTCCAGGAAAATACTAAATGGATGGTGAGTTTTGTATTTATGCAAAAGTACTTAATCGCCTTAATTATTAATCTATCGTATAAATATGATTGATAACTTGAAATTATTATGAGTACTTTTTTATAATAAAGAGGTAATATTTTATTTTTGATTATTTCGTTTGCTACGTCCGACAATCTGAGTAATTGATAAAGATATAAAAAATAGATTGTATACAATATTATCATTATATATACAATCTATATCGTAAATACTCAATAAATGATTTTTCTAAAAAAAAATAAATGTATTAGACAATTGTTACAGTATTAAATCATCTTTACCTACCTACCTACATCTGGGTTTAAACCTGAATTCTGAAATCGTTTTTAAAGTAGGTTTTAGGTAGTAGGTAGGTACCTATTTATGAAGCCACGAAGGATAACGTTATAGCCGACAATGAAGTGAATCTATAATCTCTTAAAGTATTGTAATTTTTACCAGCTAAACATTTTTTGTAATTTTTTTTTTGCAGTACTACGCATTGCGTTCCATTAAATTACATAAGAGCTGGTAGTACGCCTATTTATTATACATTAATAAACAACTTACGTGAACAAGTAGTAAATCAGAATTTAAATTAATGTTTACTTAGAGTGTCTAAATGTGATTAAAATACATTATTGTATTTAAAACTAATTTGAATTTGGAAATGAGTTCAAATACCTGTAACAGCAATTCTCTTCACATCAAATTTAAAATTAAATATTATGATGTGTACTAAATTCAAAATTAATTTTAATATATTAATAAATATTATATATTATTGAAATCTTTATAGAAATAAAATAATTGTGGTAACGATAAAATTAGTTATAACATTGAGAACTTAGATATTAGGTATTATATGTTATACTTTTTTTTTATAATTATTTATTTTATTAAGTTGATAAAATTGTTGATTATCTTTCAAAAAGCTTGAAAAAATAATACAATGTTTCTCATAAATTGTTCTAATTGCAATTATGTATTTAAAATCATCGAAAATACAATTGGATTTTTTTTTATAGGTAACCTATCTATTGTTTGAAGTCTAATTTTTAAGAAATACAGAATCGTTTTTCATAATATCCTAATCTATAATACCTAATGGGCAATGACTAACCTTATTTATCATTGCATTTTAATTTAACACATCCATTAGTCATTACAGCGACCTATTCAATGATGAGGTTCATTCCAAATCATATATAGTGATATGAGTTCTCCGGTTTTTTTTTTTTAATGTTTAGGTATAAACATTAATTTTTGTAACAACTATTGCTTTAACAAATATACCTTTAACAAACATAATTACCGATAACGGCATTTCATTGCCATAAATGCTTACTTTGTAGTAATATTAATTAATATTAATATATAGTAATCATATTGTTTATTGCCGTTTTTAGGTTATATTTGATTTTATTACACGACATTATAAAATGTATTGGGCGAGATATAAACAAAATATGTTAACGTCGAATAACAGTAGATTTGATTTAATATGCAATTCCATAAAAATAATAACGATGTTGTATTTGCGTGTAAATTGCTTCATCTGACGAATTTGAATAAAATGCAAATCTATAAGAGAGGGACTATATCAGTATGGGCGATTACTCGGAATAGTAGTTTTTGCGACTGAAATAATAGTACTGACAATGAAAAAGTATGTGTAATGCAACAACGAAAAGCCGAAAAAATTATTCAAAAGTCAACATATTCCTGCAGCGTTTTTCGATAATTGCCTGCGGCAAAAATTACAATAACAATATTGAACATAGAACAAAGGAATTAATACAAAATAATAGGCAGCCATGTGGGTTACATGTATACAATATACTGCATAGGTATTTGTGCATTATAATAATTAGAGTGATTAATATGTAGATCGTTATAATAGTAAGCACCTGTAGAAGTTCGGGCCACAATCGCGAACCATAATGTAACATTAAAAAAAAAATTAATAGGATTGAAAAATATTTTCAGGACACCTTTAGCCCGTATGTGTGCCGTGTGGTAGTACGGTTTTATACTTTTATCTTGTATTTGCACGCCCACATGATCCGACTGCGGCACGCGATGGACAATCATACTTCAGTTTGTAGGTATAGATAACTATACTTATACATTTATAATATTATCTATCTTACGTCTGCAATATAATATATTGTGAATTAATTACAACAGGCCAAAGCAGACTCAGCGGAGCAGGTAGTTCAATATTGAACTGCCTTAAAATTAGGTGGGTGCCTGCCGGTTGGGTACAATTGTACAATAATAGAGTATACTTCCTAGTCTTTCTGCTATAGTTTTATTGAAGACAGGAATGTCATTAAATTGTTTTTAGATAATCAGTTAAGAGGACGCCACACCGAAAGCGAAACGTATACAATGACCGAGAGAACGCGCTGTTAGGTGTTTTCGCGATGCGCAAGCACGCGACGTTTAAGCCGCGCCCACCACTCGTCGTCGGCGGCCGGCCGACGATTGTGCTCATTTAGAGCGGTGATTATTATATTCTCAACCTTCGTCTGTGGAGGATCGCGTAAATATAAATGCATAGATACACGTTACACGTACATTATGCCGCATTGCCGCCGTAATATTTTTAATAATCGCGCGTACTTACGCGACCTGTATTTATTGCATTTTTAGATACTTACTCAATAATAAATATATACAATATACTAATACAGTAAATAATATCTAATTTATAACAGTAACCTTTTTAGTAAGTAAATAAGGTAATATTTAATTGAATATATTATTTTACGTTATACTGCTACCACATAGGTATACTTTTAAACGACAGTTTTTGGGTATTTTTTAAACATAATACAGTAGCACTTATCAAAGCTATCTATTATTATTTATAAGATCCTAAGTTTTTACAAAGATACGATTGAGATATGAATTTGATAATAAAGAAAATAATAGTTACTGTTTAGGTTTTTCTACCATATTATTTATCCAAAACTCTTCATCAAATTTTATTTGTTGGATATTTGTCCAATTTGTAGTGTGGATTATAAAATAGCATAACTTTTATTGCGTTATAAGTATTTAAATTATTTAAAACAAAATACAAATTTTAGCATTTGGTAAAAGTTTTAAGCTTCTACAACTAGTATAGGTACTTACCTATTAATTTAATTATAACAAAATTCAAAATTGTATTTTTGATTTCGTGAAAATAAAACTTCAGCCATTCGTAACATTTTTAAATGGTATTACCCTCGTATTTTTTAGTAATTATTGTAAACAGAATTTATGGACAATCTTCTTGTACCTATTCAATTTTCAAATCTTAGCTATAGATATGAACTTTTTCCTACATTTTTACTACAATATAATTTCCAAATATTCATGAATTTGAACCTCCCCAATGTACCAACGATATTCACTTTCCCATCAAACAAGATACTGAAGTCGAAAATCGAAGCATTATTTCGACTACTTATCATGTACCTATCGTGTTATGCCGCATAAATGTACGTGTCCGCACGCCGTATTCACGAGAGAGGCACATTATTATGCTACCGATGGTTGTTTTTGTAACATAAATGCAGTTTATTATGAGAATGTGATATTTTTAATGAGTAAATTAATATGTATAAAGATTTTAATTAGCAGGATACCTAATAATAGTATAGGTATTTACAATATAATGTATTATATTACATAGTATACTTAGTCTATTTAGGTATATAGGTACATTTATATACTATTTAAATTGTTAGTCACTTGTTTATTTTTTCTTTTATATAAGTGGGTTCTCTTATGTCTGATATGAGAAGTCTTTTCCCATATAGCGGATCAACAATTTCTGGTAAAATACACTCTGTATAAAACCTAAAAAACATACATTCATAATTTATTCATTATACAAATATATTTAACTCGATAAAACTTTAAATTCCTTACAAATTCAACTTTTTGACCATTTTTTCTTCCCAAAATGTTTTATCGTAATAAATGTGTTCTACACTTATCCATTTTTTAGTATAAACAACAAAATAACAAACATTTCTACGTGTTATATGAAGTTGACCCATAACTTGATAATAGTATTGATGATCATTTTTTAACTTTAGTGTATTTTCTTGTGTTATATAACAATATGACAACTAAATAAAAAAAGGTTCATTCTTATAATACATATAAATATTAAATATATACATGATTATATATATATATTATATAATTATAACTATAGTATTATAGTTAAAACACAGCTTACAAGTTTATTATTTACGGCATCAATACTGTTTTCGCTATCTTTTGCTGTGTATGGACATTTGATTTCTACAATAGCTTGATCTCCAACCAAACCATCTATAAACAAATAAATGAAAAATATTATTATATAATGTTATTCATTATTATTATTAATTAAATATAAATGTGTAATTTTTATCGGTACTAAATGAATAGGTACTAAATTAATTTATGACATAGACACTATGTCAATAACAAAAAATAACCTGGACTTGCTGCTAAGTATGGAAAAATGGTATCTATAACAAGACCACATAATTGAACATCAAGCTTAATGATTTCCTTCAGTTTTTGTCTAGCTTCATGTTCCATATTATGTCCATAAGTCATTTGTTTTGATGTAACTGGAGGCTTATAAAGTATACTATGGACTTTGGTCTTGCAGCTGGTGTTTGGTCGCATTTTGCAAATTTCACCAAACCGTGAAGCTGTCAACCTGATTTTTCGTTCTTGAAACCAATTGGGATTCAAGTTTTGGTCCCTCGTATCAATTTCTATTTGTTTTGTGTCAACTGTATGCAGATATTGAATAAATGTATTTTTCTTTTCCTGTAGTTCATCTTCGTCTATAGTATCCATAAGAGGTTCAGCTAACCCATAATGACTGTCAGGACCTTTTGATCGGGCACTAACCATTTTTTTCCTATACCTTTTTTGATTATTATTTAATATCCGTCGGTTTACAGTATTCAACCTTATACGATCAGTATTTTTTATAAACTTTTTACCGATTTTTCCTGAAATTGATGTGAAAATTAATAGCATATAGAGCATACTAGTATGTATCTATTTTAATTACCTGGACTAAAATTCATAATTTTCTTATGTATTGTGCGTAAATATGTTCTGGAATTAAAGGAAATAATAGCTGCTTTTACCCGGGTCGAATAATTATTACTTTGCGAAAAATTAATTCTTTTTCCGCCCACGTATTTATTGATAATTGAGTTAAATTGTTCGCATATATTATTATCTAGATCTTCAATTAAACTGGAGCTATTATTTACTAAACGAGATATAATTTTGTCTATTTCTAGTAAAATACCACATCGTAATGCTTCTGGTACCATGTTGATTTCACCTATTTTTGACCCTTTACAAAAATAAGAATTACATTCTTGGTGTTGTCCAAATCTATGATAAGGTGCATTCTTCAAATCGTATTTAAGATCTGAAAACATTTTTATAACGTTAGTAAGATTAATTTTAACGTACACAAAAAAAATTATATTATACAAATTACCTGCAATTTTCTGATTTTTTGATTTATCCAATATATTTTTTTGATAAGTTATTGCTTTAGTAACATCAGACCGAAATCTTAAAATATTAGTCACTATAAACTTCCGTATTGTTACTGGATACTCAGTTTTTGTAGCGAGCATTTTAAGTTTACTTATATAATTGCGCAGTAAGTGATTTCGACATTCGATTTTTTCTATCATGAATCTAGGGCCATATGGTAAAATCTCATTTAGACGTTTCACAACACTACTGTCTCCGTCACCTATTACAAAAATCATAAAATATTGTTTATATCAGTGTACTAACAAATATCTATTGACTATTGTATAGAATCAAAAACGATTTCTGAGCGGAGACTGAGCTACTAGCCTATTTTGATTTAGTTTATAACAATTTGAACTTTAAACACTTATACACAAATACTAGTCAGTGGCGTACGCAGGATTTTCGAATGGGGGGGGGGGGCTAAACAAAGTAAATCAAAATTTGACATCTTAACAAACTAGTTTCAATAAAGTCTTATAGCTGTTAATTGTAATATTTCATTATTATATACTTTTTATAACACATACATAATATTATAGGTATATCGGAACCATAATAATATACGTAACGTTTATTTTTTGCTTATTTTAGGTCGTTGTTACTAAAGATAATACGTTTTTAGAATTATCATGGTTTGTAATTTGTCTTTTAAAATATAAAATGTATTCCATAACGCGGCCAATGGGGGGGGGGGGCTGAAGCCCCCTAAGCCCCCCCCCTGGGTACGCCACTGATAACAGTTATAAATAATTTTATAAAAACCCATGCATCATTGGAAAACCAATACATTGCTTAGCTCAGAATTTAACAGCTTAGGAAAATAATTGTAATTCATTATTTGGTAAGTTAATATAACATATAATATTACCAATAAGCTTATTAAATTTGAGTCCATGCATTTCAATGCTTTTTGAAAAACCTTCCGCTATACCATCGGCCTCCATTGCAGTGGACGCTTGTTTCCAATTAAGAAAACAATTATGTTTTGGAATTTCTTGGCTTATAGATTTCGATCTCTGGCACACTGCACAGTACCGATTTTTAATGCCGACAAATAAAACTTTACCAGTTTTGTACCCAATTATTGTAGCCTAAATAAACAATTTTAATTTTCGAATTTTGTATAATATATTATTCTTTAATACCATTGAACAAACTATGGTAATTATCTTACCGCTCCTGATAATGCATCGTATTTAGTTTTGTAGCTGCGTTTAGACCACTGGCCATCCGCAACAACAGTACACATTGGTGTACCATCAACGTCAGTATTTCCACATTCTAAAGCTAATTGTCTCTCTTCGTTCCCAGCTATAATCATTTCATCCCATGCTGTATCCTGAACAGCATTTCCAACTTCTACGAGATATTTTGAAAAAGAAGTAGCTGAGAGACAAGGTATTTCGAGCGAAGCCGAAAGTTCGTTTAATTGAGTAAATCCAATTCCTATTTATTAAATATTTTAGTAGAATTATTCAAATACTATGTAGGTACCATAGTACATGTATGTACTATTTGTCGAAAACTAAACAACAACAAAAAGGTGGGGTAAGTGGATGTCGCTCTGCTGTACAGTAGATTACTGGGAGTCACTGTATAATGGAAGGTATTAATTTTGAATTCAATGATATAATATAATACTTTAGTTTTTTTTTCTATAAATATCAATAAAATTTTATTTGTTGGTTAAAAAAGCTTGAAAATTTAATAGAAGGCTCCTGGGTTATTGTTTCAAAGGCAGATGAAAAAAATTAAAAATCCTTACTCACAGTTTTTTTTTATACGCGTTTAAATTTTTAATCTTGAAAAAATACGGAAAAATCGCGAAAATTTGCAATTTATTTTGAGTTAGAAATTCATAATAAATTTTCTTTTTAAATCTAAGATTTGAAAATCTAATACACGATTCCTCATAAGTTTGTCTACCTTTATCAAAAAAAAAAATGTCTACAAGAAAGTCAAATTAAATTTTTATGAGCGTTTAAATTCATATGTTTACAACATTTGATATTCACTCGAATTCTCATGTAACGATTTTCTTATTTTGTTATAATTAAAAAACTAATGACTGTAGATACTTGAAAATTTCACCTAATGTTTATATTAGCATTTTCTATACACGATAAAATTTTTGAAAATAATTTGACCTTTTTTGAGCTGTTTACGTACATTGTCAGTTTTCAATTTTTTTAGTTATTTTTTCTATAAATTTAAAATGTAATAATTATTTTGTAGTTAATAATTTTTAAAATGTTCAACTTTTATAGCTAAGGATTGAAAATTTAAAACTAGGTTCCACGTAAGTAGTTAATTATGTTACCAAATAATCTAAAAAATACATAAACACAGTTTATTTTTATAGTCATTTTAAGTTCAAATTTGGACGAAATTACAACTTATAAAACCTAGAATATTTTTTTTAGTTATTTTGTTGTGATTGTATAATATTATTCGTGGGTACTTGAAACTTCTAAAGTAAACTATTATATTATATCTATGATAGTATCACGGTTTGTTGTGGATGTATAACGCGTTATAAGTACCTAATGAATATTGTGATATGATTAATTTGGAATTTATTATAGGTGAATTATTTTTTAATACCATAGATAAGTATATATGTCTTAAACCTAGACTGACATACCGTCTCCGCTCAGAATCGTTTTCTTATACAATGATATTATATCATTGAATTCAAATTTAATACCATCCATTATACAGTGACCCACTTGTAACTTACTGTACAGCAGAGCGACATCCACTTGCCCACCTTTTTTAATTACAGCGATAAAAATGTAATATAATATTATGTAGATTAGATAAATTATGTTAGATAAAATTAAAACGTCAACTGAAAAATATTGATAAAATGATAAACTATTTAATATATACATCTAATATTATAAAATCGAAGAAATATGCCCTAAAACCAAAAAAAAACTCGAAATATTCTTAAATATGCAAAATAATTATAAAATTACTATAAGTCCTCAACCCTAGTAATAATATTTAAATAATTTAAAAATGTGACTACAGATTATTATTTATTTCTTTTCTTTACATACCAATAGATAAACTTCCACTAACAACCGCTTTATTTATTGGTAAGTAACTATTTTCTGGTACATCTTTTTCCGTAGTAATTGAACTACTTTTACAACACATTTTACATTTAAATAAAAAAACTGATGTATATCCTCTTCTACATTCTGACTGAAATTGCATATCTATAAAAGTACAGCCAAATGCTGAATCGTGAACTGTATTTTTAATTTGATCGAATAAGTGAGATATGTCTACTATTCTTCTGCCTTCAAGAGCGCTACAAAGTAATTATATACGTTAATAATAGATAAAAAAATATTTATTTGTTATTTATTATAAATAGTGATGATAGTGTACACAGTACACAACATAAATTAATATACTTAGAAATCACTGTATCAGCATCAGATGACGAATCTACACATAATTGATGATTTTCGACATCAGTCACATTACATAAAGGTACACCGAACACTAAGCTACTTCCTGCTTCTGTATCTAACGAAGACGTTTTAGGGCAATGTGTCGTAGAATCAATTTTTGGCGTACTAGTTAGCATAGGTTCTCTATAGATAAATAATAAAACGTAATGGTTTTTTATTTTTTAAAATAAAAATACACGTAGTTAATCCATTTTAACTTGCATAAACGATGGTGAAGATTCTATTTCATCAGTTCCTAATAAGTGAATATTCGACGGTGTGCTAGGTTCCGCTTCCCTATTTAAAATATACCTACGTATTTAAACTGTACTAAAATATGATAATTAAATTATACTTACCATGTCACTGTTCTTTTCTTAAAGTTATTAAGTCTAACTAAATTTTTTTTATTTATACTTGGACATCTTGAAGGTGCTAGCCGCTTCTTTTTGTCATTCCGACGGTCATCCATTTTTTAAATTCACCAAAATCAAATAAGTAATAACTAATACTGGTATACTTTAGGTATAACCAATAAACGCTGGTGACAGATTGAAAGTTAAAACTAAACTGATCAGTGATTACTAAAGTCTGAATAAAGACATAGTGTTCCCCCCGGTGCCCGCAGTCTAACAAAACTATTTTGGTTCAAAAATATATACCTATATTTATAATTTGTATATATTAGTAGTAGAGTAGTAGACGATTCATAGAATTCGTCGTATATACGACCGATATAACTGTATAGTTTTTATAACTCTTGAAAATACAATAATTGTATTATTGTCGACGTAGTAGGTATACGTATTTTCATAATTGCACGTAAGCCACCGCGCGTGTAGAGTATACACAAAGGAGTTCAAAAACAAATTATAATATTAAATAATTACATCATTATTATTGCTCGACCCGATACGGAATCGTAGAGCCGACGTTAATAGTCCGCTAATTTATATTTCGGCAGTGCTATTTTTATCAGTACCACAGGAGACGGAACCGACTGGTTGTGTCGTAGAGTGGGACGGGACAGCGCCGCCGCCGTTAGAATTAACTGCAATGAAACAGCCGCTAGGTGCGCCAGTAGACGGTGCAATCGGTGCATAGAACTATACATTTTTTTCGGAAACCCTTCTACGTATTTCAAATGCTACGAAGTCTTCAACGATCGTAGACTCATAAAAAATAAACTCTTAGAAAGGCCATAATTTTTACTATGTTTTGTTGGAAACCAATTTCTGAAAATTGTATTAACAAGCAAGCATTACGGCATAACAAAAGATCGTTTTATAAAAAACTAATTTGCTTATATTTTAGAAAATAAATTACATTTCAAATATCTGATTCCAACAAAACATAGTAAAAACTATCACCTTTCAAACGGTGTATTATTTATGGGTCTACGACCATTATTGACTTCGTAGCATTTGAAATACGAATGCATTATTTTTGATGCAGAAAGACGGGTGTGGCGTCCTCTTAAGCTCGATTCACAGTCGTTTGAAGGGGAGGGTCGCGTATGAACCACTCAAATTATTTGAACAGCCAGTTATAATTTCATTCGGCACCACTGAAAGTAGTAATACCTTCATACTAGCTGATAGTATCCCGGCTTAGCCCGCTTGCAGTTTTTGGTGTGCCAAATCTTATATAGTATATACGCAATGGCTAAATAGGTGTATCCCGGTTTGAGTGTATCTCAGTTTAAGTGTACCTCAGTAACTCAGTTCAAGGATAAATCGGCATCAGTACCTAGCTTTGTAAAAATAATTTGATCTAGATGGGGGAACCACAAGTCGCGGATTGTATTTTTGAACATGGTTGAAACTACTTACTCTCTAAACTATTTTGACATCTCTAAAAACAAAATCTTAGATTTACGTTAGTCGAGTCGTTTTTGATTATAAAGCTACACACATACATTTTGTTTAAAGATTTACAGGTAGTTTTTTTATTTGAGGCCATAAGTGTGACAATTTGATGCATGATTGTACCTGATCTGCCCGACAGTAGCAACCATTTATATAAAAAAAAATAATAATACTAATTTCTATTATTACTTTTATAAATTGTAATATTCGACCAATGGAAACCATTTAAAAATTTAAAAAAAGTCAGTTTCCAATGTGAATTTCAAGATCTTTGATTGAGCACATCTTTAAAATGCGATTTTGGAAAATCCTCTCTTATTGCACATATAGAGCATTTCAGAAACAAATATTCAAAATATCAAGTTCATACGTTTTATAGTTTTTGAGGAGTAGTTATCAGTGAGTCAGTGATTAGTTTTTGGTTTTTATATATAAAAATAACATTATAATATGCATAATGTAAGAGTTCATTTAATTATACCTCCAATTGCAAGGGATATCCGACCTACAAATCTATGTTAAAACGGCGTAAAACCATTTCCTAACCCTACCCATGTCCAGGCTAAAACTTCATAGGCATCAGTCGGCGACCATAATTATATTATATAT